AGACGAGTGGTCAAGTGGAGGTGTCAAACAGAGAGGTAAAGCAGATTCTTGAGAAAACAGTGAGTGCAAATAGAAAAGATTGGGCCGGGAAGCTAGACGACGCATTGTGGGCATATCGAACTGCATACAAAACTCCCATAGGTGCTTCTCCGTATAAACTAGTTTATGGGAAGGCATGTCACTTGCCCGTCGAACTTGAGCACAAGGCCTATTGGGCGATTAAAAAGCTGAATATGGATGGGGACCTAGCTGGAGAGAAGAGGTTGCTACAACTCGATGAGCTTGATGAGTTTCGATTGCACGCGTATGAGAATGCCAAATTGTATAAAGAGAAGACTAAGAGGTGGCATGACAAGCACATTCAACATCGAGAGTTCGAGCCAGGGCAAGAAGTTCTTTTGTTCAATTCGAGGTTGAAGCTTTTCCCCGGAAAGCTAAAATCTCGTTGGCCAGGCCCTTTTGTTGTAGTAAGTGTGAAACATCATGGAGCTGTGGAATTGCGAGATATGAGTTCAACTGGTACCTTTTTGGTGAATGGTCAAAGGATAAAACATTACTGGGGTGGTGACTTTGCACGTCACAAGACCTAGGTGGACTTGACAGATGCTTGAGAACGTGTTGAGTCGTGCCGCGACGTTAAATCAGGCGCTGGATGGGAGGCAACCCATTGCATTATTGTAACTGTCGTGCCGCGACGTTAAATCAGGCGCTTCATGGGAGGCAACCCACGATAGTAGAATTTCTAACTTGTTGTATATATGCAGGTTAGTGCGGAGGATATTGCATCACGAGCCTGGACATATCATGGGTAAGGTAGGCATTAAAAGAGGTAAAAATAGTGCCTAAGGGGCAAAATAATGAACAGAACCCCAACAATAGGCCCCCAGTAACGGGTCCACCACGGTCGCGGCGTAACCGCGGTAGGACCGCGGTCGTGACCCCTCTCTGAAGTTATCCCACCGCATTCGCGGCGTAACCGCGGTAGGACCGCGGTCGTGACCCCTCTCTAAAGTTATCCCACCGCGGTCACAGCGTAACCGCGGCAGGACCGCGGTGGACCAGAACGAGCCCAGGTATGAAAACGCAGAAATTTTTTATTTTTTTTCTTTTCTTTTTCTCCCTTTCATTAATATAACCTAAACTAACCCTCCCCAACCAAAACATCCGCCCCCCTTTTCCCCATTCTCTCTATTCTCTCTATTCTCTCTATCTTCTCTCATCCTCTCCCCCCACTCTTCTCCTCCCTTCTTCTTCCCCAACTCTTTTCCCCCATTTTTTTTCCTTCTTCTTCTTCCCAACAACCTACTCTCTCTTCTTTCTTCTTCTTCCCATAACCCAAAACCCCCATTACCCCTTCTTCTTACCCCCTTCTCCATCCAAACCCTACCCACCCACAAACCCTCCCCCCCCCAAAAAAAATGCCCCACCCCCTACCCAGCCACAACCCCCCAAATTTTTTCCTCTTCTTTTCTTTTTCAAGACTCCGCGGTAATCCTCAAGGTAGTTGTTCTACTTTTCCTTATGTTGTATGTATTTTGCATTATGTAGTGATTATTGTAGACAATTCTTGATTTTGGTTGCAATGGGGTTTTAGACTCCAAGTTTGGTGTTGTAGTTGGTGTTTGGGGTTGATTTGTATAGGTGTGGGGTGTATTTCTAGTTGATAATTTGTGTGTGTGGGGTGGGTGGTGGTAGCATTTAACTGTATGTATTCATGGAAGCTTGCGGTGGGGGTTTTATAGGGCGAAATTGTATCGTTGATGAGTGGTGTAGGGACAATAGTGGATGTTGTCCACTTTGGGTAATCGTTTGGTGCCAGCGGGTGGAGAAGTCTGAGTATCCATCCGACTGGCACATGTTTGGCTGGCCCTGATTGTTATGATGAACTGATTTCAGGTACGATGGCCAGAAAGAAGCGAAGAAGCTCGAAAAGCACTTCCGACGCCCCGACTTATGATGCCACCCGGTTCACATCCGAGGAGGCCCAGAACAGGTTTCATGCGAAGGCCACCAAAAACTTTGTCCCGGAAATTGGTATTGACAGGGCTGCCCTCCGTGTCGAAAAAGCAGACATGTAGGAGGAAATCTGCCGGAGGGGGATGGAGTACTTGTTTGACGAAGCTGATACAACAAACCCAATGATAGTCCGGGAGTTCTACGCGAACTGACCGGAACATATGTGTCATTCTGTGATTGTGCGGGGCAAAG